TGTGATTTGCATGAAAATTTACAGAGCAAATTCACTTTCCATACAGCAGTTCACATACACTTTGTCTCATGACATTGACTACAATTTACCACAATGCAACCGCTCCCCTCGCACTTCCTCCCGATAGTTACTCTTCCCTGTGTCCATCCCTCCATGCACTCCTGCCCTCTGAGCTGTCTCCCTGTGCATAAGCAGCCCTTCTTTCTCCCACGATTGTTCTCTCCAAGGAGTGTATCTACGTAAGGTAAATGTTCAACTCATATGCCTGTATTTTCTTTGTCTGAAAACTACAGGTGTGGATTCAATTCCAGACCTGAAGGGCAGCTAGGGACCATAGTCTCAGTGGTTCCACCAGGCTTTATCAGACCAGCAAACCTGGTCCTCCCTTTTTTTTTCTCCAAATGAGTTTGAGTTTTGTTCCACATTGTTCTCCCTCTTTATAGGGCAGCTTCTTCTGATTTAAAAGGTTACCACATGTCCTTTTATATTTGAAAAATTAGTCGATTTGCATTCTTTCCAGCCCCAACCAAGCTTTCTTTGCAAATAGATACATTGTTTTTTTCAGGTCCAACTCTGACCTATCATCAGTGTATTTATGGTATGAATACTTCTTTAAAATACCTGCCAAAGCATTAGCCAAAGTGCCTGAAGTTATGCTCACCTGCCGTGTATGTAAAGCTGGGTAAATTCATTTGGGCAATATGCATTCTCTTTCATTTTAAATCCTGGCGAAGTGTTTTTGATAAAAGGATCTATCTACTTTATGTAACACCTGATCTGTGTCTGTCTGTCTGGATCTTGACACCTCCATAAAGACTAGAATTTTACTCCCTTTGACCTTCCTTTACACATTTCTACTTTTTTTTTTTTTTAAAAAAAAACCCAAATTCACTGCCATCGAGTCCATTGTGACTAATGGCAACCCCGCCTTAGGTTTCTGAGGCAGTATCTCTACGGGAGTAGATTGTCCAGTCTTTCTTCCGAGGAGTGGCTGGTGTGTGGCTGGTGCATTCGGACTGCCAGCCTTCTGGTTAGCAGTCAAGTGCCTTAGGCACTACACCACCAGAGCTCCATTTTTCAGGAACTAGTTATTCAAGTTTGTACCTTCTACTTTCATTACCTTCTTGGTTTTTTTTTGTTGTTGTTGCTGATGTTGTTATTGTTTAAATCACTGCTTATAGAAAAGTCTTCACTTAGATTTCAACAGGAGTTTATCCAGCATGGTGAACTTAGAAATGCAATAAATGGTTAAAATGATCATTTTGGCCTATATAGGTTGCAATTAATGCATTCTAATGATGTACACCATTAATACAGATAATTGGCAGCAGATTCTAAAGATTTTTAAAAAAGCTAAATTCAACTACGTAAAAAGCATTAACAACTTTTCTTCTTTGTACTGTTGGCATAAATATGAATATAACTAATATTTTAGAGTCTGACAAGTTAGAATTTTTTGTGCCCTAAAAAAGCAATCCTAGCATAAATAAATATTCTTATTTAACAGTCAATAACATAATTTAATAAGGAGCTCTGGTGGCGTAGTGCCTAAGGCATTTGACTGCTAACAGGAAGATTGGCAGTTCAAACCCACCAGCCACTCTGAGGAAGGAAGACTGCACAATCTACTTCCATAAAGATTTACCACCTTGGAAACCTAAAGGGGTTGCTGCTATAAGTCAGAATCAACTCGATGGCAGTGAGGTTTTTTTTTTAACCTATTTTAATGAGAGTATGATTATGTATATTTTAATGAGTATGATATATGCATCACTGTAAACTAGGATAAAATTTTTTGCTAACATTAAAATTAGTATGGGTGAAATTATTTCTTACTAATAGACCTGGAACACAAAATGTGTAAATTAGGGTGCTTTTGGAAACACATACAAAATGGTTTAAATAATAATGAAACTTGATATCTCATTTAAGAGGAAGTCTGAGACAAGTCATCAAAGATCCATGTTCTTCCTACGTCTCAGCTCAGTTACCCACAGAAATGGTTTTATCTGAAGGATTAGAATCCCTGTGGTCATAGGATGGCTGTCAGTAGAAGTTGGAATTGTGCCTTTTTATGGTGATGAGGGTTGCAGACACTGATTTCTCCTGGTTCTTTCTGTAGAACCAGAAAGTTTCTTTTGCAGAATACTTCTCCTTGGCTCTCAGTAGCTCAAGGTGACATGAGTCTGACCATTTCTGAAGTAACTATCGGTGAGAGTAGAGATGGAGAGGTAAAGTGGCCAGATTATCATTATTGACTTATTGAACAACTGGCAAGGAGTAGATAGGAAATCACTTAAAAATGTTCTTTGTAAAAAAATTTCTCAGAATATTGAGTTCTTTTTGATGACTGATCAGGTAGAAAATAAGATGCTCAGGGCAAAATTGGTTTAAACTGAGATTGGTAACATTGTGTTAAGATATTTGGCATATTTCTCTTGTTCACTTTTTAATAGAAAAAAATTAAAATTCCTCCATTATCCTGAGTAACTTAGGTTACAAATATCTTCAGAGACAAGTTATTCTTAACTAAGATTTAGTTAATGAATTGAAATGGCATGAGTTATGGAAATGGTATATATCTTAATATGGCTAGCTCTGGTAAGGTGATGATCTTCATCTTACATATTGTATTTGGACTTTGTTCAAAGTCATTAGTTTGATTTTCTGAAAAATACACATTTTAGAATACTCTGGAAAATATAGTTTTCAGATGGCACTACAAATTTAAAAAGTGCTTTGAGAGGGATAGGTAGTGTTTTTCTATAATATCCCTTTTGTTTTAGTAGAATTGGTTCTGGTGGTGTCTAGCTTACTGGTTGGACATCTTTTAATGGAGGCCCTTTGGACAGAACAATCTCACTAGTAACTTCTTTCTTGAATAAAAAGCAGCAGACAGGGTAATTTAGCCAGCAGTGATGACCTTTCTTCCATTTTAGTAACATACCTTGTTTTTACCATACTGCTCCCACTTTCCCCAAAGTGATTTAAGGCTTTGAGGAAATGAAAACTAACTATTCCTCAAGAAAAACTGAAGATACTTCTTCTGAGGGTTTCTCTTCCAGACAGAGATCATGGGGCTCTAGCTATCTCTTTTCTATAACCTACTCCTAGTAGTAATAGTAGGAGCTCTGGTAACATAGTCTAAAGCATTCGAGTGCTAACCAGAAGGCTGGAGGTTCAAACCCACCAGTCACTCCTCGGAAGGAAGGTTGAGCAATCTACTTCTGTAGTGATACCGCCTCAGAAACCCAAGAAGGGGTCTTTATGAGTTGGATTTGACTCAATGGTAATGAGTTTGGTTTTTGGTTTTTAGTGGTAATAGTAATAGTAAAGATTTATGTAGCATTTACTCTTTGTGGGCATAGTTCTGGGTGTTTAATATGTTCTCTTTTCAGCCTATGCAAAGGCATTTGATTGTGTGGATCATGGCAAATTATGGATAACATTGAGAAGAATGGGATTCCCCGAGCACTTGATTGTACTCATGAGGAATCTGTACCTTGACCAGGAAGCTGTCGTTCAAACAGAACAAGGGGACACTACATGGTTTAAAATCAGGAAGGGAGTGCATCAGGGTTGTATTCTGTCTCCACTCTTATTCAATCTATATGCTGAGCAAATAATCCAAGAAGCTGGACTATATGAAGAAAAACGTGGTATCAGGATTGGAGGAAGAATCATTAACAACCTGAGATATGCAGACGATACAACTTTGCTTGCTGAA